CCCCCCCCCCCCTGCCTTGGATCCTCGCGCCCGGAACACGCCCTCTCCCTTCCCCTCCACCATGCGCAGCAGCAGCGCACTCGCATATGTGGAATAAACAGACCCGGAAAAATCGACTGGAAGTCGTGTACTGTCCAGCTAGGCCGAGTTTTAGTAATATCCGTGAAGTGGAGTGTTTGGATTCTTCCAGTCCAAAACAGTTTTCGGGAAAGGATTCCGTTCATGGCATAAGACGGGAAAAAGGCAGAACCGGTCCACCGCATGAACACCAAGGAAGTGTTTTTCTTGTTAGATTCGGAGGATGAGCATCTAATTCCAAGGTGCAGACGGTTTTCGGCCGCGATAATGATCCCTTTCTGTCTTGCCGGATACTAAATACCTATGGTGAACAGGACTGCGGGGGACAAGAAGCAAGCAAGAAGGGTTTCTTAATAATTTTCACACTTGCATGGATCTATCGCTTTCGATCGGCAACCGCTGATTCAAACGATAAAAAAGATTTGTCAGATCCAGAACAATGATTACCTTACTGCAGCATCAGTGCGTGTACTGTCTTGATTGAAATAGATGAACAGAGATTTAGCGGTATGATTCTGTTGAGGGTTAACAAATGTAAATGTGTGTTTGGTTACCGGAAAGCAAGAACAGAGAAGGTCATCCTGTTCAAATTATTAATCATCAAGCACAATATACGAATCGAAGAGACACGCATAACTGTTGATTGTGATTATTTTTTAAAAGAAAAATGATAAGTTGCGGCCGTTAGAAGACCTTAAAAGAAGTGGATGGTCCAAAGAAAATCAAGATGTGGAACGACCGGAGTCAGGAAGTTAAAACAAAGAGTGGGACAAGAATATTAAAATAATTTGCGGTCATTGATATGCCGAACCGTAATCTCTGAACCAAGCGAACGGCTCGAAGCATGAAAAATGTGGGACAGCCACGATGACATGGACTCTAGGTGTTTAAACACTGCGATCTCACCTTCCCTAACAAGCATTTTGGTATAGTGCTTCTAATTTCATTCAAACACATGTACTGGATCACCAAGGCAACGAACAGGTGCGCGATCGTGACACGGCCCTCTCTGAGCTTATCGAAAAGTGGCCAAAGTGACTGAAACTGAGAAACAACCGCAGTAAAATCGAACTTAGGTCATCTTTCCTTGATTTCATCAAGGCAAAGTTATATTATCACTCAGTCACGAACACATTAGATTAGCAGTTATCTTAGCCGCAAGATATGAGATGTCAACTGTCTTCGCTTCGTAATCCAGACGTCCCACGCAAAGCTAAACCTATCACTTTCCAGCAGATTCAGAAGTCCCTCGATGCATCGAGGATGCATAAATTTTTTGGCCCTGCTTGTTGCCTCAGCAATAATGCTAAGATAGTATAATCCATTCGATAGAAGTTTCGTATCCCCATAATTGTTCAGATCGTCTAAAATGACGACCAAGCCGCGCTGATAGGAAAATGACTGGCACAAAACAGGTGAGACATCTGCCAATTTCAGCAGAACAAAGAAGGTACGTTCAAATGCAGTTGGGTCTTCACCACAATACCATTTACGCGTCTCATGGAAGACATCATCAACGATTTCCAGTAGCGTTTGGATGAAGTGTTCCGCATTTGCTGCACAAAAATTTTGTAGTACCGCGGTATCAAAGCTGTGAATAATATTTCCAAGCTTTCATAGCAAGAAGACTTTAACACTGATTGCAAAGTAATTTCACAACGAAAATTGGGCCGGAAATGTGTGAAACAAATATGTGATCATTCAGAGCTGTACGCCACACTTTCGCTCGCATGCCTGACTGGGAGCATTTGTACAGCACCCAGGCATATTCCGACAAAATATCGTATTTCCGCGGCACTAAAAATATCGATCCGTCCGTATCTGCAAAGACAAATGCAAGCACATGCTTGTCCTTGCACGTGATACCATTTTTCCTGTTGGGTCATATATAGTACCAGACTCTGTGCTGCAAGATGCAAATCCGCAGGCTGAAAGTCACTGCATGAATTAGCATGACGAAATATCGGCCACATAGCTATTTCGTTTCGACCACCAACAGGCGTGAAGCAAATCAAGGCAGTGTGCCGATGAGCTTTTATTAGCAACCTTTAACGATTTTTGTTTTTCGTGCGGATAATGATATGGAAGCCATTCTACAGATGCATTCAGAAGAGAGATAAATTCCAAGTACGGATGCATTGAAATGAATATGTCGAAATACGCAGGCATACGAACGTTAATGTCGAAATCT